GGGGGGTACTACATCCAGCTGCCTAGCCACTCAACCAGGCCCAGCCAAGTTGACACACAAACTTAACTACCACAGATGGCTTTAACTAACAGAAATATTCTCTAACAGTTTAGGAGGTTAGAAGTCCAAATTCAGGACACCAGCACTAGAGGAAGCCTTTCTCTCTCTGTAGGCTCTAGGGAAAGGTCTTTGTCTCCTTTCAACATCTGTGGAGACAACGCCGCTCAGAGATCTCCATGTGTCTTGGCATCAGTCTTCCCCTGGGTCTGAGAGTTTCTTGGTGCAGACAGCCTGGGTCTAAAGGACACACTCTACACTTTACTCTTCTTTCTTGGTGATAGTCAGCTTTCTCTCTTTTTTAATTCTTATAAGGTAAAAGGTGATACAGGCCACACCCCAGGGTACTAGATTGCCCCATCTATTTGTGGTACTTATGTTATAGTAGCACTAGATAACTAAGACACACCCAATATGCTCCAAACCCCCTGCACTCCCCTGGTGATGCCACTGACCAAGAAGGAAGGAGCATGGCAGTTTAGAGAACTCGAGCTTCTAGTGATCATAACATGGAGATGGAGGTTTTCTCTTTGCATAATATCTTTCTCACTCTAATCTCTCTGTCTTTTACCAAAACCCAAATTTAGCTCAAAAACTCAGAGGGAAGGAAGAGGACTAATATAGCATGTCACTGATAGTGTGTGTTCATCCAAAACTTATCAGGAGGGCTAAAAGTGACTGTGTTAAGAGGAAGGTGATAGTTTGTTCACTAGTCAGAGCCAGTGGCCCAAGGACCATATACAATAAGGGGAGTTCAGCACAAAATGATCAAGGAAGTAGAAGACATGGGTAGGAGCACAAGAGTTAAAGGCAACAATGGTAAATATTATTCCACGCACAATCCTGCAGTAACAGTAATAGCAATAATCTGTGAGTGACTACATCACAATCTGAACAGAGGTGGGAAGGAGAATGGAACACCCATGAACATATATAGATTTGACAGAGGATATCTCTACCAACGTATTTATATATGCTGCAGATATATATAAATCCATGAATTTAGTAGAGCATACAGGGGGCAAAGTTATGAAAACATCTTAGTCATAAACAAACATCTTGAGGGAATGAGTTACGGGACATGGAGGATCAGGACCATAGTCTCAGGGGATACTGAAGACAATTAGCATAAGGTAGTTCACAAAGACAGTGTTCTACATCCTCCTTTGGTGAGTAGGACTGGGGTCTTAAAAGCTTATGAGCAGCCATCTAAGGAGCAACTATTTATTTCTCCCTCTCTGGAGCAAAGAAGAGTGAAGAAAACCAAATATTCAGGAAACAATTAGTCCAAAGACCTAATGGACCACATGAATCCCAGCCTCCATGACCCAGAACAATTAGATGGTACCTGGCTACCACTGCTGAACACTCTGAAAGGAATCACCATAGGAGGTCCAGGATAGAGTGAGGGAAAATGGGGAACAAAACTCAAAATCATAAAAAAGACTAGGCTTACTGGTTTGATGAAGACTGGTAGAACCCCTGAGACTATGGCCCTTAGACACCCTTCAAGCTAGAAACTGGACTCAATTCTCATGACTCAACTTACAGCCAAATGACAGGCAGGCCTATAAGACGAACAGTAGTACCTGGAAGGTGTGCACTCATTAGAACTATCAAGCACATGAGATCAAGAGGACAGCATTTGCCCAGGGAAAGAGTTAGAAAGGTTGGAGGGCACAGGGAGGAACTGGGAAGAGTGCTGTTACAGTATGGGGATTGCAGTACATGTCACAAACAATGTGTATGAATTGTTGAATGGCAAACCAATTTGTAAACTTTCACCCGAATCACAACAAAAAAATTTACAAAATGCTATGGGGCAGTTCTACTCTGCCCTATATGGTTACAATAAATTGGGATCAGCTTGATGGCAATAGGTAGAGGGAGGGGAACTACAAGTAAAATATTAAAGATAGATGTAGAGAGAAAGAGAAATGACCCAGTAAATGCTTCTTACTAAAGTGCCCAGTAGTTGGCAAAAGCTCAGCATGATCCCAGTAGACTAGGGTAGCTTTTCTGTTTCAAACTACCCAAGAATGTTAGATCCTTGATCAATTTCTCCTTCAAGTGGGATGATATATGTTTTAATGATATATTTTAAAAATAATACAGAAATGCATTCATATAAAATATTTAATCATTTCAAATATACCAAGTTCTTCCTTCATCATCTACCAATTCCTGTTCCTAATTCTCTTTCCCAGAGGCAATTATAATGATCAATTTCATTGGTGTCTTTCTAAGTTGCCTTCTGTGAATTTACATACATCTAAAATGGTGCAAAGGGTTAAGTACTGGGTTCCTAACCTAAAGTTTAGCAGTTCAAACCCACCAGAGGTACCTCAGAAGAAAGGCCTGGCAGTGTATGTCCAAAATGTCACAGCCATGAAAACCTAAGGAACACAATTCTACTTTAAAACACATTGAGTCACCATGAGTTGGAATCGACTTGAAGGCAATTGGGTTTTTTTCAAAAATGATAACATTTAGATGAAAGCTGTTTCTAATTCAAATGCAGTCATTAGAGCACAGTTTGTAATGTCGAGCCATCTGGAATGTACTCTGAAACTCAAACTAAAAAATAAAAATAACTTCAATTTAAATGAAAACTGAAAAATAAGACAGGAAAAGTAGTATACACACAGCACCCTATAGGATGGAATAGAACCGCCAGATAGGGTTTCCAAGGCTGTAAATCTTATGGAAGCAGACTGCTGCTTTTTTCTCCCATGGAGAGTTGATAGGTTCAAACCACCAATCTTTTTTAGTTAGCAGCCATATACTTTAATCGTTGTGCTACCAGAGTGCTTAGTTTGTAGATACTTACAAAACATATTTAACTTTGGTATGTTATGAAAAAACTAAATGACATAATTTTAGTTTAATGAAAACAAGCAAAGACAAACAAAACATCAATCAGTGGCTATGTCATAGTGCCTAAGACATTTGCTAACCAGAAGGCTGGCAGTTCAAACCCACCAACCTCTCCTCAGAAGGAAGATTGGGCAATCTCCTTCCATAGAGATACTGCCTCAGAAACCCAATGAGGGGTCGCTATAAGTCAAGTCAACTCAACGTCAGTGAATTTGGGTTTTTTTTATTTATTCAAGTGGCTGTAACGAGAAACCAAAAACCAGAACCAAATTCACTGCCATCAAGTCGATTCCAACTCATAGTTGGAGTTGGAATCCCATTGGATTTCTGAGGCAGTAAATCTGTATGCAAGTAGATTGTTCGATCTTCCTTCTACAGAGCAGCTGGTGGGTTTTGAACCACCAACCTTCTTGTTAGCAGTCAAATGCCTTAAGCTCTATGCCACCAGAGCTCCTTGTAATAAGAAACCAATGAGTTAATATATATAAACTACTTAGAGCTGTGTCTGATGTATAGTAACTACTCAAATAATGTTACCTTTTCTTATTATTAAGGGGTCCTGGTGGCACAGTGGTTAAGCAGTCAGTCAGCTGCTAAACAAAAAGGCAGAGTTTGGAACCCACCAGCTGCTCCACAGGAGAAAGATGTGGCCGTTGCTTCAGTAGAGATCAATCACAGCCTTGGAAACCCTATGAGGCAGTTCTAGTCTGTCCTATGTTGTTGTTATGTGCCGTTGAGTCAGACCCGACTCATAGTGATCCCTCCTTGGGTTTCCAAGGTGGTATCACTACAGAAGTAGATTGCCCAACCTTCCTTCTGAGGAGTGGCTGGTGGGTCTTATAGGGTCTCTCAAAAAAGCAAACTCACTGCCATTGAGTCGATTCCCACTCATAGCCACCCTCTTTGTGTTTCTGAGGCAGTAAATCTTTACGGAAGTAGATTGCCCAGTCTCCCTTCTGCGGAGTGGCTGGTGGGTTTGAACCAACAACCTTCTGGGTAGCAGTCAAATGCCTTAGGCACTATACCACCAGAGCTCCTTATAGGGCTTCTATGAGTTGGAATTGACTTGACAGCAATGGATTCAGTTTTTTGTGGTTTTATTGAGAGCACTGTGGCAAGATGTTAAGTGACACTGGGATTTTCAAGAAGCAGCAGCAGCTTTCGGAGAGATGAAAGAGCAGCTAATGATATAGTCTTTTCTTTTCTTTTAGTTCAAAATTCAGCAGTAAAATTAAATACGTCAACAGCTTATCAGAACTCAGTAGACTGATCCCAATGGATTGTATCCATATCCCAGAAAGCATCATCAAGTAAGTCCTGATGGTTTAGAAGATTTGGTAAGAAATAGTGCATGCCCAGAGAAGGAGCGAGGAAAAGGGCTCACTCTGGAGTAGTGGAGAAAGGGCATTATCTCATTTTTAAAACAAAAATTAAATGTTGTCCAAGAAATATACTTTGTCTTATAACCTGCAGTTAACTGTTTTGTTTCTTTCAGATCCCCTTTCATATACTCTTCTTTGGTATTATTGATTATTGCTAAGTCTCACCTTGAATTTTACTGGATTTTGGGAAAAGCATACATTTAATATTAATCAGTATTATCTGTTCCCTATGGCCCACCCCACACAAACCCAGTGGGATCTTCACATAGCATGGATTTCTTTACTGGTTTGCAGAGAGTAATTTATCTGTATGACCACAGGAAAGTAGAAAAAAATTACCCTTTCTCTATTTTCTTCTAAATCCTTTTTTCCACAGTTCCCTTCAGGTGAAAGATCAGACAGAGGGCGTGTGTTCATTGGTGGGTGGGCTGGTTATTAATGATCTCCTGATTACCCAGCAAGCAAGGTGAGCACAGGTTCACTTGTGCTCCCACTTACTAATCTGTAGTGAATAATTCCACATAGGTTTCACCACATGATGTGGTGAAAAACTTGAGAAACTATTTACTACAGATTGGTAAGTAAGCACAAGAACCCGTGCTTACCTTGCTTATTGGGTAATCCAACCCAGTGTTCAAGACAGGGTAGCTCCACCACAGTCTGCAAGAGGAAAATATGGACATTGAAGGGCTCAGGATTGTGCCGGAAATGAATAATAGCAAAAGTTAACTGAACAACTGCTTGGAGCTGAGACTTCAACATGTACAAATACCAGGAGAATGAATACTCTGGTTTGGTTCATTGTTGCAAAGACCCCTTGTTTTCTATGTGTGTCTTTTCTTCCTCTGTGTCTGATTCATTTGTTTGTGATTTGGACTGGATTTGAGAGGGGCTTAACAATCAGCTCAAAGATAACAGACAAGTGTCCTCTTCCATAAGGTGGATACTAAAATGGACCTCCCAATTTGGGCTTCCAAAAGAGTCCCATCACTGTTTCAAAAGGCACAGGAGCTGGAAGGAAAGGCCTCCTGTAGAATGTGTATCTATGCTGTGCTGGGCATAGAGGTGCTCTATTTACATCATTTATTAATTCCCACAGTAAACTCCCCTTTGACAGATGAGCCAAAATACTTAGTAAGGAGAAGTTTCTTGTGCAAAGTTGCACAGCCAGGAAGAGATAGAACTAGAATTCGCAGCCTGGCTACAAAACCTCCATGCCCTTCTCTACAAGATTCTTTGCTTCCCTAAAAGTACTCATCTAAATTCAAAGCTCAGGAGTAGACACATTTGGTCTTACATCCAAAAAGCAGGCATGAACACGGGATACTCTTTGGGCTTACAATGGTCAGTTGTCTCAACTGGATCAAGCAGTTGACACATCAGAATCAGCCATTGAAAACCCAATGGAGCACACTTCTACTCTGACCTACATGAAGTTGCCATGAGTCAGAAATGACTCGACAGTGCCTGGAGATATATATACATATATGAACATCCACTTGTTATAATGCTGTTTCCCTGTGCAAAAGATGACAAGGACATTCTCTCTCTTCCAATGGAAATGAGCAGTGGACATTTTGCAGGTAAATACCTGAATATAACAATACTTTCTGTGATGTGGCAGTTGCAGGCAAATAGCATGTGTAAAATGGAAAAGTGATGCATATTTCATGGAACTGTCTTAGAACTGAATGAGAGCAATGTATATAAAAGGCATTTAGAAAGCCACCTGGCACGGAGTTGGATATCTAAAATGTTATCTATTATGATCATGTTGCTTTTAGAAACTCATTATTATATGAAAAAGTTTACCTGAGCACACATTCATCCATAATACATGTCAGTTTTCAAGGGTTCCATTTGGGCAAACTTATTTCAGGAGGAAGGATTCCCTTGGGAAATACAGATATATGTCCCTTAATGAAAATTTCTGTGAAATAGGAGTTATATGATTTGGATGTGTGAACACAATCCATAGTTCAATCCCCATGAAGCCTATTGTAATGAAATTTTATGGGAGCCCTCCAGACAAAGCCCAAGAGCTATATCCACTGGACACAGGAGGCCAGCCTTGCCAGATGTGTGGCTTCGCTGGGCAGGGGCTGTGTTAGCAGCTGGATTGGGACTTTGTGCACATCTGGGTGCAAGGAGCAGGCACAGAGAGGTGGCCACAGGGCCTCGGGGTGTGGGTGCTAGAAGCATGAGCGGCTGCTTCCTGATCCTGTGCAGCCACTGCCACCTGGAGCTGGGAGCTCGTGAGCACAGCGAGCCTGGCCAGTACCAGCAGCACCCGGGGCAGAGAAGGAGGAGCTGAGGCAGGCACTTCCCTGAAACTGTAGTGAAAGGCTGCAGGCTGCTGGGTGGGTGAGTGAAGCCAGGAAGAAGGGGAGGAAGATGGGTTGTGGAGATTGGGATGTGCCCTGGAGTCCCGCTGTTCATTCACTCTGGGGATTTTGAGTCCTTGAAACCGTTAGAGGCAAATAACAAACAAAAGGAAGGCTGCTTTCCCTTATTTTTTAAAAACAAAAACAAAAACACCTATGGGACCATGGATGTATATAGGGCCACATGTTGCCCAAATAGACCTTAAGTGACACATACCTGTATTTTCCTCCCAGGGAAGAAATTTAAAGTTATGCATGTTCTCCCAAGTGTCCTTGTTTTCTTTCTTTATCCATCTCTTCTGGACATCTTTTCTGCCATTTTTCTTACTGATCCTCTTTGGCTCATTTTCATGATAAGCAATTTTTAAATTGATACAAGCCATACCTCCTTCCTATTACTGAATAACATTCAAAGAATCTGATCTTGGCTAATCTGAGAATTTGATCTTGGCCAGCCAGAGTGTTCAGCTGGGAAGGAGTTTGTCATCAAAGGGGCTCAATGAAAGAAAATCTTGCCCAAACTGGAATCACATGTGTAATTAAATTTGTAATTATAAACCATTAATTGTATCTAATGAACATCATATTTCTCCCAAAACGCAATTAGATCATCATTTGGGTGAACTTTCTCTCTCATGCTCTGACTGTCCTTTAAAACATCAACCTGTCATTTTCTCCATCTGTTTGCTCATTTTCCTCACTGCATCCATTTTTTATCTTGTAAGGTATGATGAAGAGAGATCTTATAAGAGAAGTGTGAGGTAAAATCTCCTGATCTACGATTCACCTGCACCTTCTGTGTGTGCGCGCAGTGTTTTACTCGTGGGTGACCTCAACACGCTACATAGTATGAGGGCGTCTTATAAATCCTTCGTTTACCATCCCTGTCTTTGTCTTGTGTCAAAAGCTGTTGAGGTCAACCTGATTTGCAACTGAAACCTACTAAGCCAGACTCATTCCTGACTTGGCCTCCGGCTGCAAGCTAACTTTAACTGTACTCGGTAGATGGATTTGGAGGTTCTCAGCTTGCCTCACACAGCATGTTTCTGATCCCCCTGCAACTTTCTTACCTTCTTTATGAAGGAATTTGCGAAGTAAGCAAATATAAAAAACAGAATGGGAGGAAATGGCCCCAGACTTGATTGAAGGAGTGAGTCCCGATGCTCCAGAGGACTGTTTCTCAAAGCATATGCACTCCACTTAACGTTTGGCTCTGCTTTGCTGGGCGACTCTCTCACGCTCTGCTCGCTTCTTTTTTGTTTCTTTTCTACGATGATAATTTTTGGTTGTGCAGACTGGATGAAGAACTGAGGGAAGCATCAGAAGCAGCTAAGTAAGACCTGGTTTTCATTTTGCAGCTGGCATGATGTTGGCTTGCTTTTCAGGAATGAATTGGAAGAAACACTGCATGCCTCGTGTTTTGTGTTTGCATCCTGATGATAATGCTGCCTTTAAATATTCCCTTTCTCCCCAATAGATGCAATTTCTACTATTCTTTTTTTAAAACACATATTGTGTTTTCAGTGAAAGTTTATGCAGCAACTTAGGTTCCCATTTGACAGTTTCTATACAGTTTTTCAGTAACAGTTACATTTTTTCACAATGTTTCAACATTCTCTAATTCTGTTCTGCTTTTTTCCTCTGTTATTCTTACTATGATCTATTTATCCTCAGGATCTTGGTTATTTGGAGGAGAGCATTTGTTACTTTTGCTTATTGTTTTATGTAAGGTTTTAGGTCGCGGGCACTGCCACATAACATGTAGCATCCCAATGATTATTAAATATAGCGAGGCAACAAACTTCACACATTCATTCTAATGGGAAGAGGTGAGGGCATGTCAAAATTTGGAATACTTTTGTAAAAGTAATTTCACTTCACAAAATGTTAAAACCAGTTCAAAGAACATTTGAGAAATGAGATATTGATAAGCAATTTAATAAAGGAATGTTAGGATAAAATTATTGAATTAGATACAAATCTATTTAATATCCAACAGGGCAATCAACTATAACATTGGGGTTATCCTTTCCACTGGACAGAAATTATTTGCATCTCTATTGGATAACAGCCTACAAGTTAACCTCTACCCCTAGAGAATTGTAAAAGAGCACAGTATTGTTCTGAAAGAATATCCAGTAATTTCCTATCCCTAAATTTTCAACTGCATCTCAAATGTAGACAACTGCTGTTTGGAAAGTTGGCTTTGTTAAGTATTTCAGCTTCCTCTCCATTTTGCTTATTGCTTGCACTGTTAGTTTTTATAACCAGCTTCGTTTTCATAGATACTGCATAAGCAGAAGGCCTGGAAGAGGTCCAAACAGCTACAAATTCCAAATAAATAAGATCTAAATTAGTGAGATCATTGGCATAGCTTTAAATGCCAGTTCTTCCATTAAAACAATCCATTTAGTCATTTTTCCTACTACACCTTTTTATTACAGGTAGTTTATGTAGTTATTTGCTATGGTGGGGATATTTTCGATTGAAAATTAATCATTTTTGCTTTGGAAGCTTAATATCAGTATAGTTTACTGTTACAACATTCCTGTCCTTTCATTTTCTTTCAAGACAACTGACAACCATTTAGACTAAAATACCTCAAAATTATATAAATTTTTACTCTTAACAGTCTCAGTCTCTAACATAACTGTTACAAACAAGCAGCTGTGGGAATGAGGAATACATGAGGAACCAAGGAAACACACGCAGGTTTAATCGACACCTTTAGCATTTATCTGCACTCAAATTTGCATTGAGTCATGAGATTTCCCAGAGAGAGAAATGTTAATGAGTATCTCTTTCAGATTCATTTTTTTTAGGATAATAATATATTTATGGGATTAAAATGTTATCTCCAAGACAAAAAATGGGGTGAGGGGACATCAATAATTTTTTAGCCTGCCCCATTAAAAGTCAAGTTTTTTCACTGCTAGTGTGAAATCTTGCCTTCTTAATAGATTTTTTCCTCTATGCTTATTTAGCTACCATATTAAAATAGTTCTCATTTTTGGCTACTTGTGTAGCTTTCAGCTTTATTTTTTTTTTTTAACTTCAACTCCACCATTTTGTTCTCTTTTCTCTCCCCTACACATCTCCCCCACTCCCACCGGCTCTCCAGGTATCTAAATGGTCTCCATTCTAAAGAAAGCACCCGGTTCACGTGCGATAAAATTCTGCTGCTCGAATTAATGAATGTGCCTAAGTGAGATCATTGCTATTGAGGAGTGGTGCTCAAAATTTATTACGCACCAGAATCAACTGGAATGCTTGTTAAAACAGTGTCCAGGGTCCTAGTCCCAGAGTCTCTAATTCAGCAGATCTAAGATGAGGTCTGAAAGCTAGCATTCCTAACAGTTTCCCAGTGATGCAGATGTTGCCCGCCTCAGTCTTAGTTTCAGGACCATGCTTTGGGAACCTTAAGGTAAAAGGCTGAATAAAACTACTTAGATTTGTCTTAGGAGTCTATGCTTGTGCTTTGGGTTCAGTGAGTAAACCACTTGTCTGAAGAATTCTCCCTCATTTCTTTTGCTGTAGCATTATGTGTATGGGGATAATAGTTCAATGGTAGAATTCTCACTGGCCATGCAGGAAACCCAGGCTCAGTTTCTGGCCAATGGACCTAAAGTACAGCCATCATCCGTCTGTCATTGGAGGCTTTAATGTTGCTCTGATGTTGAACCAGTTTCAGTGGAGCTTTCAAAATAAGACTAGACAGAGAGGCCTGGCAATCTACTTCTGAAAAATCAGCCAAGGAAAATCCTAGGGGTTGCAATGATCCAATCCCATTGTGCATGGGGTCACCATGAGTTGGGGGCTGACTCAACAGCAGCTAACTACAACAACATTATGAGGAATTGAAATATTTTTGCACATTTGAAAATGCGTAAGGAGAAAAATTCTATTTTGTTGACTCTACAGATGATAATTGAAATGTCTCAGAATCCCACCCTTTCAGCATACCAACTACACTTTATCAACTCCCTTTCTGTATGTGAAGTGGCTCCCCAATCTTTTGACTGTATACTGTGATTTTTGGTTCAGGATACATGATCGTCACAGATACATAGTAAGATTCTAGAAGCCAGAAAGCCCACGATCTATTAGCAGTTGCACCTTGACTTTCCACATGACCTTTATTAGAAAGCTTCAGGTTGAATGCAGCCAAAGGTAAACACATTCTTTGTCACGGAACAAAATCCATTTGTCTATTGTTTTGTTTTATTTCCATTAGTGCTTTTAAATCTGCTCCCCCTCACACGCAAACACACACACACACCACCAGCACCACCACTAATTGACTTGCAGGAGGTAATTAGTTCCGCATGCCTTTCCTTTTCCTTAAACTTTAGATCTATACAGGAAAGAAAATAAATAGTATACATAGAATCATTCTTATTTTGAAAATCTTGAAGAGCACATCTACTGCCTTTGGAGTGACAGTATTAAATGGTTTGCAAAATGCTGTTTTCTTTTGAAGGATTACTCAAAGTTAAAAAGCAGAAAATCTAGTTTTGGAAGATTTCCCCTTCTTGATTCTGTTCCAGCTTTGCTAGGTTTTTCTAGCACACTGTCAACACTTATTTGACTGTCATTGTTCACTTGAGATGCCAAATATCCTCCATAAAAATGCCAGACTACCAGTGAGAAGGGTGGAGAGTAGGAGGGGGCGGAACAACAGCAACAAAAAAGCCTTCTGTCCTTCCAGGGAGATAGCCTTTGCCAGTGGCGTAGTGCCTGAGGCATTTGGCTGCTAACCAGAAGGCTAGCAGTTCAAACCCACCACCAACTCCTCGGAAGGAAGACTAGGCAATCTATTTCTGTAGAGATGTTGTTGTTGTTCTTATGTGCCATCGAGTCGGACCCGACTCATAGCGACCCCTCCTTGGGTTTCCGAGGCAGTATAACTACGGAAGTAGATTGCCCCATCTTCCTTCCGAGGAGTGGCTGCTGGGTTTGAACTGTCAGCCTTCTGGTTAGCAGGACTGCCTCAGAAATCCAAGGAGGGGTTGCTATGAGTCGGAATGGACTCCAAGGCAGTGAGTTTGGTTTTTTGGTTGCTAATCTTAATAACTGAGCCTCATATGCAAACAGATAAATTAGCCTGTCAAGTTACTCACTTTACAAAAGGAGCCCACACATTTCAAAAAGATCAGAGAATCTCTTTAAATAGTGTATATTTACCAATAATAACATATTAACTGCGAGGAAAAGTAAAAGTTGAAGTGTACTTAGCATTCATCAGGAATAAATATAAAGCAAGTTTGAAATGTGCTAACTCAGGAAACCACCAATGTGAAATATTAAAAACAGCTAATACACCACCAAAACACTTTGATTATTTTTATATGGATACCTTTTTTCTTTTCTTTCTGGGCACATTCAGGTTAGGTTAATGTCAGGACTCATTTGTGTTATCTGCACACAGCTTGGCTGTCTGAAGTGGTAAGTGACCTATTATTTTCCTGTCACAAGAAGAAGCAAAGCTCACCTTGGAATTTTTTCTTTTAGCATCTTGGAAAAATCCTGCTGATGAAAACTGGAAATTAACTGTGCTAAAGTGTAAATAAAATTAGGCTTCTTGAGAGTGATCTTTCTTCCTGTACAAAATATTATTTGGGATACAAATAAAATTTTGCAACATTGTGTTCCCAAAGATAGATTGAAAAGGCAGAAAAAAATGAAGACAGAGGAGACCTCTGAAGGTGCTTTCCTTTTGTTTCTAAATCCTAGTTAATTACTGTATTTCAAAACTGATGGCAACAGAATCACAGCTGGCTTTGATCATCTGTTCAGGTATAGATTTGTCCAGTATTAACAATGGCACCACATTAAACATTAATCTGTTGTGTTTACAAAGTAATGACGTGGAGAAATGTTTACTGCTCCTATTTTTTCCCTTGCTCTCAGAACTAGCTGCCTTTACAATGATCCAGAAATGTCTTCTATGGAGAAGGAGTAAGAATTCACCATCAATATAGCTATTTTGTTACCCATGGTATTGTATGGCTGGGCTGTGAAGGAAAAAAAAATACGTTAAGGACTGGGTAAACCCCATTCAGATGTTCAGCTTTCATGTTTCTATTTCTGAAATCAGAAAATCTGCTAGTTAAACATGATCACTACTTAAATATCTTAGTGACAAACTGAGTCTCATACGTGGCATTCTATTTCTTCGATCCAAAACTGAGGAAAAAATTAATATGAAAGCCAGATGTTAAGAGCGTTTGGGTGAGAGATTGCAGCTCTGCTTTCTGAATTACATCATCTATTTTAATTAGTGAAAGTTTGGACTTCATTTGAACTTAGTGTTTTGGTGGATGGGAGAGAAAATGTTCCTGTTTTGAACATCTGAAGGAGACAGTTGCATCTGGATGGGACTTTAAGAATGACCTATTGCTGTAATGCCCATCCTGTAAGATAAGAAATCTAACGTGTATTACGTTCTGTGAAAAGCTTCACATGAAGCATCTGATTTTTGCCTTCAGAATAAGCCTGTCAGATACTTTATAGATGAAGAAAGAGAGGCGTGGAGATATGATCTGACCAGTCCAATGTTTTAGAGCAGTAAAAATGCTCCAGCTCTGGGATTTGAACCTTTGCTGCTAATTGTTTTGAAATCAGGGAGAGGTGTTCTTAATGCTGGAATGTGTATATAACCACTTGCTGGCAAGTGGTTGGTTAACTTGGCTTGCGTTGTGGAGAATTTAACTCTGTTCTGGTTTTGAGGACTCCAGCAGGAGATTAAATTTAAATGCATCTGCTATTGTTTCATTTTTGTTCTCAAGCACAAGGTCCCGCAAGGTCCCAAGAGAAGTTGGAAAACAATAGTGCAATATCTCTGCAGTTGTCATGTTGACTTTACAGCTTAAATAAAATTTATGCATGAACACAGCAGAGAGATGGTGCCAATTGAAAAGTACACAAAAAACCAAGGCTTTTAAGGGGACTTTTGAAATCACATAGCTATTTTTCTGAGTCCCATCCCTTTGCAAAGAAGACTACAATTGTTTCAGATTAACTTCCACATGAAACTTCTGCAAAGCAAAAATATCTCAGTCCACCATCATTTCTTGGGCAAATAGTTCCTCCCTTGGCAAAACAATGCCCCCGTGAGCAGGGTCCTGGGCCTGCAGTTAAAGGGCTGTTCAGACTGGAATGTCCTAACACAGGCACTCACTGGCCTTTTGCTGCTACATCTTCGGGTTTACCCACTCCGCTGCCTGCCTTATCTATGGTGTTACTGGTTTGTGATTAGGGCTGTCTCGGTTGGAGGGAGGGCAAAACTCTGCTTCTTGTTTGGGCTCATTCCAGGGCTGGGGAGAGGGAAGGGTGGTATGCTGCAAATTGTTTCTTTTACTTCCCACTTCAAAGAATAACACATCCTTCCCTCTTCTCCTCAGCCCTTAGCAAGCACATGATCACAGAGCAGAGGATGAGATCCTGGTTGAGGGTTGGGAGTAGCCAAGGTGTTTCATTTTGTTTTGTGTTTTTGCTGACTTCCAGCCCTGGTTTAGACTGTCTGGCTTTCTTTAATATTGGAATAAAGGGCTTCACTTATTTTCTGGCTTCTACCCACTGCGGGCCAGAAATGAAAGAGAAGAATTCCTTGTGGAAGCATTTTATACCCTCTGCAGCTAGTAATGATTGGAGTGTCTGGGTATTGCAAAAGGTTGAGTGCTCAACTGCTAGCTGAAAGGTTGGAGGCCCAAATCCAGCAAAAATTAGCCCCTGGAAACCCTCTGGAGTTCTACTCTGATACACATAGGGTTGCCATGAGTTGGAATTGACTTGACATCAACTGGGTTTTTTATAGTTAGTGCTGAATGCATAAAATGAAAAATGGGCAAACACTCAACCAAAAGGCTTAATCAGGCCAAGGAGAAAAAAAAAAAGTGACAGTCCCACAGTAACCAAAACCCATCAGCTTAGAGTCATTATTCCAGCTGCTGTCTCATTTTCCCAAGAGAAGGGAAGACTACACCCATTTCTCGCTCTCTTTTTTTATTTATAGTCATCAACACACAACAAAGCATTCAGCAATTCATCGATTTCTGCATAGGCATCTCACCTCTTCTTACATAAAAAACGAAAGCTTTTATTCATTATTATTCACTCATTAAATAATGTAAAGTGTAGGGATGTTTAATACTGGTTGGAAGGGAAAATGACCTATAGTAAAATTGTCAAAAGGTGGCTTGTCTCACCAGTAAGCTGTTCATAGGAATCTAAACCCATCTGCTCACAGATGAGTAATAGGCCGTTTATAGTCAATTCTGATTAAAAAGAATTTTTTTTCAAAAGGATACTTTGTTACAGTAGCCCTAAATCTTTATTTCCTTTACTTTTAAATGGGGGTTTTATTTCTTCATTAATGTTCTAAACCTTGCAAATTTTTTTACGTACATAAAAAAAACTTATGTAGTGGACATGGTTGTATTTGGAAGAGACTTAAATTAGTAGCATATGTGGTAGCTTCATTAGTTCTGTAAGATATTTTTTCCCTCCAAAATTAATCCTACACGTTTCCTATATCCATGTGTCCACTTTTGGCTATCTCTTGCTTCTTCCATAAACTGAGTAAATAGGTTTCAATCTTTCAGCTTTTTGTTTACCAAAAGCTAAAGACAAGAATTAAAAGGTAAAGTTTACAAAACAAAAAAAATCAGTGCAAAAAATATTTTGAGATGGGCATCTTGGCCTAAATGTTGTTTCAGACTTTTATCAACGGCCAAGGTGGTAAAACAGAGTGAACATGCACTTGAATTTTCACAAGATGGTTTTATATATTTTAGCCCACATGCATACTGTTCAGACTATGTGCCCCAAATTTCGACTTAGTAAATATTCTCTTGGGTTATGAGAGAAACTAAGCCAACATCATGGGAGAAAGAAAAAAAATTCCAATCACCAAATCAAACATAATACATTTTAGCAGCAAAAACAAGTTCAGATACAACAATGTCCTGCATTATAGTATATTAGAAAAAGAGCTAAGAGTCAAAGTGGATATAAAGAGAACACCTCTGTAATAAAACTCTGCAGATAAGAAAACAAGTCAGATCTTTGATGCACTGAAAAAAAAAAAAGGAAGAAAGAAAAGATGAAACTTCACGATGACCTGGCCCTTCCTCGCCACACTCAGCATGACCAGGTTCTGAAAATTCCCAAAGGAGACAAGATTATTGCAAGTGTCATAATTAAGCAGAGATATGATATTCCCATTTCAAAAAACACCAAGTACTAATATTACTTACAATAATATTAACAATAACCTTTACTGAGAGTTCACTACATATGGTTGAAAACACTTCAGATTTGATCCTTAGCAAACTGGGATAGAGGTCTGATTGTCCCTTTTACAGATGCAGAAATGGAAAGGTAAAGGTAGGTACTTGGCCAAGGTCCTACAGATAATAAAACAAAAAACAAAACAAAACAAAAAACAAACTCACTGCGATTGAGTCGGATCTGACCCATAGCACCCCTTCCTTGGGTTTTGAGGCAGTATCACTACAGAAGTAGATTGCCCAACCTTCTTTCTGAGGAGTGGCTGGTGGATTTGAACCTCCAGCCTTCTGGTTAGCAGTCGAATGCCTTAGGCACTACACCACCAGAGCTCCTGCAGCTAATAAGTGGTGGGATTTTTGAAGGATATTTCAAAGGAGAGATATTTCACAACTGTAAGCTGAATGGCTAGGCAGGGTGGGTCACCAGTGGCTTTAATTTGCAAAACTACGAAGAACACTGCTCAGCTCCTGCAAATTCTATAACCAAAGCACAGTAAAGTTCAAAACAAACAGACTTATGACTCAGGAGGCCAGAGATAAGTGAAATTCACAGATACTCCCCACCTTGCCCTTTTAAGCTGGATCATTTTTCTTTTTCTCTGTAATTGAAATTCTTCCTCCGACTGTTCACTGGCCTTTGGGTCTCTTCTTCTGATGGAGGTGCCAGGGAGTTATATGGTTAATTTAGGGCCAACGATGTTTTAAACTTATTTCCTAGATTTCTGGAAACTCACTAAGCATTTAAAAAAAAAAAAAAAAAAAAAAGCTTTCATTGTGATCTGGATCTATCTCATAAAGGCAAGTAGACAGGTCCTTTGGCTCCGAGAAAAAACTGAATATTTTCGTGGTTTTATTGTATAGCACTTCTTGCTATTCAGCACTTGTCAGACTTTACTTATTTCAGGTAGATCATGTACATTCTCCACCAGGAAAGGCCATTTACTGAAAATAGGTTCCTTCTTTTCAAAAAGTAATGATGTTCTTTGTCTTAACCTTCTCTAGGAATGAGCCTTAACAAGTCTGTTGCTTCCCAGATAATTTTGAAACGGCATAAAATGCTTCCAGAATCAGTTTTGTACAAAATAAACTGATTCCATATTTTAGAGAAAGATTTGACAACTGGGGGAGGATTTCATTTTACCATATTTTTCAAGTTTAAGAATTTTGCATGATTTATTTTAAGTGGGTCCTCTGAGGAAAAACAGCAAACACATGCCCCTCAAATCATTACTAAATATTTCACATTCAGTTTCTCATGCTTTTCTCTCTCTCTCCTTCTCTCATTTTCTTCTCTTTTTTTTCAAAGTATTGACCTGAAGTTGAAAGAAAAGCCCTAGTTGACCATGGCTGGAAGAAGAGGTTGCTTTTCCACATCGTGGTCCTGTTGCATCACATCAAGACACAGGACTTACATTATTTTTGTTTTCCACTTTGCACTACCTGGTGCCAATTCTGAATTTCTAAGGGGAAAAACAGTAAGGGAATTTGTTTACTCTTAACATATGTTTTATGAATTTGTGTGTATTTTCCTATTTTGCCAATTATGTGCCTCAAAGATTTTAGTTGAACCTTAGCAAGAAAGTAGGACCTTCCATTCCAGTATTTCATTATTCTTTAGTGCAGTAGTATTTTGTCCTTTAGACCAGAGTTAACCAATAAGACAAATTTAATC